TACCCCTCTCGTTAGATCTCCTTGCCTGTCGTCAGATGTGATGTCGAGGGAATCGTTCCCTCGTCATGAAGGTCCGTTCAAGTCATTCATCGATCCTCCCTTCCTGTTGGAGTTGCTCGTGAGTTGCTAGGAGAGAGCTGGGCTAGGCGTTTCGAGGCACATACAATTTAGGTGTCGTGGCCGACCGGACGAAGGCGTCTGTTGTAGCCAATGCACTGACATGCATCGGGCAACTACAGAAGACGCGGGTTCAAATCCCGTCGGTACCAGAATGTATGCCGGGAGCTCGGACCCTCGATATCAACAGAAGACCGAAATGCCGTTGGAGTGCACTGGCTTCAGAAGAGGCGTTTTTGCTTCTCGCAGTGTTGCTCCGTGGTGGTAGTCTGTCGCGGTGTTCCGAAACTTCCGACTGCTGCCGAAGTGTCGTAGCCCGACCCTATTCTCGGCGACTCACGCAGCTTCAGCTCCGGATGGTTGTCGGAGTTTATTTTGTTCTATAATGGTTCGGCATAAGGGAAAACTTGCCGTTCGAATCGCAATCGGAGAGCTCTCACGCAGCTCCATCTCAAGATACCGAACGCCTTGAGGCTCTACAAGCCACGAGAGGAGCCGGTTCTCGAGACTCAATCTGGAGCCCCAACTTCCTGCACGCATACGGGCGAATACTGTCGACAACTCCACGTCGCACAAGAGTTGCGCTAGAGTCTATTGTATATATCGCTGATCTTACCAATCAAGTCAATCTGTTCGATATGATGCTCGTCAGAGATCCAAGGGGAAACCACTATCGATGTGAAGCGATGCTGCACAAAATTGAATAAATCGCATATATCCCAAGCGACGAAATAATTGAGTAATAACCAGGCTTTGCAAAAAAACGCGAATCTAATGAAAAACCGCGATTATTGACTGCGGTTATTCGCTGTCCCCATAGAGTCCCATATTAAAGAAAAACCGCAACTGCGGTTATTAACCGCGGTTGCAACGCCTAGTAATAATCCATGTCGTTTCGCACCTCTGTGGCGCTGTGAGCGAAACAAGCGTTTCCCGTCTTGGGGAGTTTCGCTTTGTGACGCTCCATTCCAAGCAGGCGGAAGTTTCACCGTTGGTATTCTCAAGTTTCGCGGGGTTCCTGATGTCAGACTGACTTGCAGGATGGATTAGCTAGACCCGTAGGCGGGGGAGCGGGCGATGAGTATTCTGTATATTTTCCTCGTTCCTCTCAGAAAGCAGGTAAGCTATTTTTGAAGGGTGAAGCGCGCGGAAGAAGGTTAGTTCCTCCCTGATGATTCTTGTTTCAAACGAGGATCAGAGTTCGATGGTAAGCCAAATTCAAACGAATGTCCCAGGAAACTGATTTCGCGAACTTTCCGAGTCTTCCGCGTCGAATCCCGCTATCCGGGCCCCTGCTTGAAGGGAGGAATCTTCTACTCACGAGCTGCGTTGCATCTCTCTTTCACGTTCACAGCGGCGAACTTTGACTCGTTCTTGAGCCCTCTCGTCCTTCTCCCGGATTTTCGCCTCAAGTTCCTTCACACGGTTTCGAACCCGTTCCCCAGCCGCGCGTAAGCGCTCATCTGTAGTCTGTGGAACGATTCGATCGATTGAGTGAAATCGGCGAAAGCTCTGTCTGCCAGTCCCGGCAGTCAGGTCGACTTCCGGCGGCAAATGATCATCTGTAGAACTTACGCTTCGTACTGAGATTCCGTCGCGTTCGCACCCCTGTTGCAATTGAAGATGCATTTTGGCTATGCGCTCGCTCAACTCTCCAGGTCTCGGCGTAGATTTTTTCATCCGTTCTATGTGAGAAAGGTTTTCGTGGGAAGTCCTCGATGATGTGCATACACTAGCTATCCAATCGGGAGTTGTTGGTTGAGATTTGTACATTCGTTTCTGGAACAGAGGTCGACCATCATTCGGAGAAATCGGCAGTAGAAAAAATCTACTCTTCGAAATTGGGCTGAGGAGCGAAACCATCATTGATCGCTGCTCATTCTTGCACTTGAAACGCATAGCGAATGGGTGCGCAATCGGGATAGATAACCCAGAATCGGTGGTCCCGTGCCCGAGATCCACTCTCTGCATAATGTGATTGCTTTGGATAGCATAGAAACTAATAAGCAAAAGTTGGGACCCATGTAGCCCCTCCGTTTGCCTTGTGCCACACCCAGGAGCAACTGTGTCCGAGACCGCTGATAAGGAACGATACGTTCGTGCCACTGAGGCGAGCGGGCTGTTAGAAGGGTGTTACCGTCTCACACCTGAGAAAGAGAGCCCAGCCCGAACCGCCAGAGGATACGATCAACAAGCGAATGGTACTCCCAGTTTTTCCATTTTCCCGTGGTCCCGAATTCTTATAGCCGATAGCTGTTTCGAACTTGATTTCAAATCATGAATCGCCCTTCGCCCCCGTTTGAGGCTTTTGGAATGCGAGCGGCCGGGGGCAAACGTTCGCTCACTTGATTATTGACGCATTCCCTGTTCTTCTCCTTAGAGCGCTTGAGACTCCTGGTTTTCGCAGCTTCCTCTCGACGTCTCCTGAGCTCTTCCCGCTCGCATTCCCACTGCTCATGGGCCCGGCGCCGCTTCTCTTCGGCTTCCAGTTCGGCCTCTCTCCGTTTCACCATGATTTCCAGCAGCCGAATATCCTGGCGGGTGAAAGTTTCAGCAAAATTCGATCAAGCGTAGAGCTCTGAATAAGACATTACTCAGGAAAACGAAAATCCTTAAGAGGCACGAAATACCTTGGGAGGGAGTTTGACTCTGCAGCGAGGATTATCTTCGAGACGAGTAATCACTTTGCTGGAAGTTATGGCGAGTAGACCCATTTGGAGTCCTTGAGCATTGTGGAAGGGCGATGCAGGCGTGCTCTTACTTCGCGGTAGACTGCCGGTCGGTCGAGATATCACTTCATCCTCAACCTTGATTGGAGAGATACGAACGGAATTGAACCACAAATCAAAATTTTCGTCGAATGGTTGATCGTTTCAAGAGATTGGTTTCGTCAAATGAAAGCGAGACGCTTGAAGGCTGCAGTGATCGAGAGGACCGAAAACGGAGGGAAACTTACGCTCAGATTGTCGTTGTCTAAACTTTCTGCGGTTGTGTGAGAATCTCCTCCAGGAGTCGAAATCTGTGGGGGCGTTTCAGGCGTTTGGGCTTCTGTATGGCTCGCGCTGCTGTTCTTGTCTTCATCTGCAAATACGGAAAGTGGCGCGACTCAGTCCATATTCAGCTTACTCGCACTAAGGCTGGTTCAGCGAGTCTCCTGGCACCACTTGCTCTGATGCGTTGCGGAGGTCAACAACGTACCTGAACTTCCCGACAGAACAACTTCCAGCACCGGCATGTCTATTCGATTTCGTCGACGTCCCGGTGAGACTGATTGCGATCGGTGTCTTTTCAGGCGTTCCATCTGGATGATGTATTCGCGCTCTTTTCGACATCTCTCTAGTTTCTCTGCAATAGCGATTAACCGAATCAAGAGCATGAGTACTCGGGTGCCGGAAAAAGCAGTGAGGCGAAGCGTCGGCGGAGTTACAGGTTCGAAGCAGAATACAAACCCCAAGGATCAGCTCACAAAATCACAGCAAACCACAAACTCAAGGATAAGCGAATGAATATTCCGGGAAATTGGGGGTACTCACTCGTACGCTGGATTTCGAATAGCTTGTAAAGATGTTTGACCTCTTCGAATGGGGTATAGCTGGGTAGCTCATCTCTGAACTCTTCGAAAGACTTGGACAAGAGTTCAACAGGTTTGATTCCTAGATTTGCACAAGCTTCAAGCGATCTGGGACTAGTCAACACGTATGGACAGTTGAGCGCGTCAACCTTGTCGAAATTATAGAGGTTAAGGTTGATATCTTCGGGGCTTCGGAGGTCCGATACCTGTGGACCGAACGGCGAGTTCAGGTCCAAAGAAAGGCCGCGCGTCGTGGCTCTCGCGCAAGTCATCTTTGGACCGTAATCGCATCAAGTGGAACTCAATCACGACATGGGCGGTGTGCGCCGATGTTCGAAACTGGCGGAACAGCGATATGAGTCGCCAGATCTGTCTCGTCGGGTTCACTCCTTCGACAAGATCGATCCTGTCTTCGATCTGGGATCATTCATGGCCGTCTACGAGCATAGCTCTCTGAGTTTCCTCTTTCCGCGCACTGAACCTCCGAATCCCCAAAGGCTCCATGAATTAATTTCTTGAGGGTATCTTGGTCTGAATCACGAGGAGCGCTCCGAATCGAACAAGAGGACGAATTTCGACTGATTCACTGGGGAAAATTCCCGGAAACTTGAACGAAGTGCTTCCGTTCGTGGCTTTTATGTTTCCATTGGAGCGACATGCAACACCGACAGAGGAGAATAAGCGCCATCTTGAGAAACAGGATGAAAACGAAACCACCCGAAGGAGGAGGATCTGTGGAAAGGATGCCCAACCCGGGGCTCTTTTCACCGCCAGCGAACGGAGCCGCCGCCGTCAGACAGCGGGCTCACGGCCGGTCTCAGTCAAAGGAGATGCGGGGAGGATGGAGATGCCTCTACACGACTTCCTCCATGGTCAAAACGTGACCTTGAGGAATGTGAGCAAATGTTGACGAACTTTCCTAATATTCCGCGTCGCGCACGAATATCGACTCTTTCCGAGATCCGATTTTATAGAAATTGTCATTCGGGCTTCATGCCGGGGGAGAGATTCCGTCGAGAAATCGAGGCAGCGAATCCTCCCCTGTTGATGGAGACCGGGACTCGTTACTCAGCTTGCAGTCGACATCGGGGCTTTCTGACAGAAATTCATCGGGGAGCCTGACGGGAATCCCCTACAGGAGCATGGTAAAAGCCCTGACTCAACCTACTTCCACGTTCCGAAGAAGAGATTCCCTTGATGTCCAATGTTATACTGGGGGCCTCCGACCGTAGGTTCAGAGCCCCCATCGGAGGCCGCATACCGGCCTGTCGGCACCGCATACAATCATGGACATGTTCCCCGTATTTTCGTGGCCGTTCAGAAGGTAGAAATACGCTCCGTAGTTCGTGAAACCTAGGTGATACCCATGGAGTCGATGGAGAGATTATTCCAACACCTTGAAACCTATGGCATCCGAACATGCTATAATTGAAATCTGCCTCAGACAGAAATCGAAAAGAGCGCACCGGAGGGGATCCCTCAAGTGATCGTGAAGACTCCTGGCCTTCGGATCTTGATCTTCCGCTGTGTCTTCCAGCGCCCCGGTCTCTCGCTTCGGCACATCGGCTCACCTGAAAAAAAAGCACGGAGGGCGAATGAATCGAAATTACTACATTCGTCATGCGCCAGGATTCCTTTCAAGGATAATAAAATGAGAGCATTAATCTATTTTTTGAAAATCGATGTATGCATGACGAATACCATGTAAAGCCACACGGCGATAAGCAGAAATTGACTACCTGATGAATCATCGAAATCTGAGCTCGAAAACTAATTTTCTGTGGGCTGAAAGACCCATCCAAGGTTCGGGGTGCCGGTTATATTCGGATGCTCCCGAGGCTGGATTCAGAGAGTGGTTAATGTATGCTCTGGAGGATCAAGAAATCAAAGCCGAGTTCCTGCTTATTTTTCCGGCATCATTATCGAGCCTCCGCCTCCTCCCGAACGAGCGGCACCGGCGCCGCACAGTGGTCAAAAATCAATTACTAGGTGGACAAAATTATTTCGATGATTTTTTCGATAGAGTTCTGTTTCCCGAATGAGGCGTGAGACTCGGAAAGGGTTTCCGGCCTCCAGCTCGCCCGCGGAGACGATATTTGATTTACAAAGTCTCGATGCACAGTGAAGCTTAGCCCGAGAGCGCACAACGAAGAGCGACCCCGATGCACGTGGTTTCCTGCTTGACTTTCGAATTTCCTACAGAAGTGGAGACCGCGCCAG